GGCAGGAAATCATCCTTCGTCAATAAAGAGGAAACCTATATGCATGACTTTGACCTCGGCTGTAGCATAAGATTCATCATCAGAACTGCGAAATTGTCAGCAAAGATCGTAGTCATGAAATTAGAAGCCTCCGTGATCAGTGATTTGTTCTATTTTAAAAGTACTGTAATCGGTGACTTCATCAGGTTAGTCATCTTCCTTAGTAAATGGATCTCTTTGCATCAACAATGCGTTCATGTTGCCCAGGTTATCGTTAATCGAACTACAAGCTGAAGATCAGGCGTTGTTTGCTACAAACATATGCTGTGTCTGTCCACCCTACTCATTAAAATGTGGATATCGTTGAACGATTCTGCCGTTCAGTAAGATTTTTCAGCATGTCACAGTACGCGAATTTGATGTTTTGACACCAATACTGCGTTCGCGAGGTTACCATGTGCATTACGCAAAGAAGTGCCTCAGGAAGAACGCGACTTGTCTGGATTATCGCTTGAAATACCTAACACAAAATTTCAATGCAAGAGACTTAAAGTGTTGTGAAAGTATACCATGGGTCGAAGTTCGGCTATACTTTTAAGGAACCGGATTGAAATGAAAAAGGTAAGTTTGTTTGGTGTGTTGGAATGTTGGTCTTCCTTGTATTTTCATGATGGCGCCATTTCTGGCACTCTTCTTTGATGGCTTCATGATGGCTAGTTAATGTTAGGGCGCTGATCTCCATTTCCGTGCCATCAGACAGGAGTGACTTATTTGTTAAAGGCAAAATTAGCAACAGCTTTGTGGCAAGCATAATCTGTAGTCTATTATTTTGTTCCAACCAGGTGGTTTTCATTTATCAATCTCGGAAAGAAGAATGGCAAATGACCGTCCGTGGCTCAAACCCGACACTTCCAGATTTCGAAGCCGACCTCTTAGGCACTGTGCCACTACTCATCGCTTAAGGAACGATTGCGGCTTCTGGGAATCGTGCGAAGTAGCAGCTATCTGAGGTTTAAGTGATGTAAAATTGATAAATTCATAATTTTAATTTCTGTTGAAACTACTTGCTCAGTCGAGAAGTAGAATTGACTTTCGAATTTGGTTAGCATAACCTTCGTTTTTTAGCGTTTCGCGAAAGAGCCTGCCTGTCCCTCCTGCGGAAACTCATTCAAAGGCAGGTATGATATCCTGCGCATAAACTTAAATCTGAGCGACCAGTACAAATCAATGATCCTTGCTGGTCAACGGCCGGACGTTATTATTGACATCTGTTCTAGAGCTATTTCATTTTGGAGCTTCCAGCTTTACCAGGTTGGTATGTTTTGGTTTAGAAAACAGAATCGTAACTTAAAGTTGGCAGGAAAAGCTTTACCAGGAATGGTTGGTGAAAAAGGCACGTGAAAATGCCGTTAAAACCGATCAACAATACGAACAGACGATCGCGCAGCTGCGCAACGAGGTCGACTGTCTTCTTGTGAAGTTTCGCAACGTTAAGGAGGAGCTTGACTCCGCACTGAAACGTAACGAAGACCTGGCCGATAAGTACAATGAAAAAGTTCGGCGATGTTTGCAGCTGCACAACAGTTACGAGATGCTGAAACGCAAGGTCAGCACTCCGTCGTTTTGTTCGATAGCGGCGAAAACGGTCAGTTGCACTGGTGGACTCACGCTTTGTTCGTATCTTGCAACGCACATTTGCAGGCAAAGGGAAGTACTGCTGAGTTCAAAATACTACAACCAGCAATGCCGATTTCTTCTGCATTAGAAGAACCAACATTCTCCAGCAGAGTTCAGGACGGCGATGAAATGTCGTCACCCTTCATCGATTCGCAGCTTCAGGTTTTGCGCGAGGACCTCGCATCCCTAGACGAAAGCCCACCTCAGTGTTGCTCTAAGCTCAAAACAGCGACAAAGGATGACTTTGTTCTCCGAGCCGACGGTATTATGAAGAGGCGTCACAGGAATAGAAATACTAGAGGTGCTGTTGATTCATCGAAGTCTTTTTTCACGTAATTTGTTTTCATGCGTATTTTTTCTGTTTGTTTGATTGCAGTTTATTGTTTGTTGTTTTTTTCATTTGAAAATTTTAGTTATATTTTGTTTCCACTTCTGAAAATTCGTTGTTGGCGTAATGCCACATTTTGTTGCAGAAAGAATACAGAATTGGAGAAGTAATACTCTGAATCACTGTTATTGCTATGAAGTAGCTGATTCATTTCTTTTTATCCGCGACATAATGTTCGATTGAAGGATCCGTTTGAATTGCCTGTAGGTTTCATAATCAGTAAAATCCTGAATTTAATGTGATTGCCCCATTATACTGTTTCCTCAGAATATTAATGGTTGTTTCAGGACCTGTAGCAGCGTTCGTTTCGAATAAGGAATGAGCGCTTTACTTGATGTTACTGTACAATATTCTACATCAGTCATAGCTGTTTCTTGAGGCATATCATAGGTTTGGGCGAGAATGTTCGGTTGATTCTAATATTTTAGTAATAACTAATTATTAAATTATATATTTAGAAGTAGACCGTCTGCAATAAGAGCGGTGATCAAGTGGGTCAAGGCGCATTACACTGTACATCCGTGAGTGCGAAGCAACATCATCGATCAAAAGCGTCTTAAGATCTGGCATGACTGCGTCAGAATGTCGTGCTGCCATAATTGTTCGCATTTCATCGATTTATTGCCTGCTTCGTGGCTGTTTGTACTGG